TGCCGCTTATGCCTCATTGCCAGGATACAGGTTCAATCTTGATAACTCTGGGTGGGGCTGGAAAAGGCTCCTGTCTGAAACAGATCTGTTTAGGTTTCACCTTCCATCTAGTGAGCGGTGCTAGGTTGTTGATGATGATGATAAGACACTGAGAGGAACCTTATTGAGATAGATCAATACTTTGACTTAATGTAAGGTAAGCTCCTATGTTCATTTCTTAAATAAATGGTCAACTTCTGTTTTGGAAGATAGGGGACAACATTTTAATCTTCATCTCAGCCAGCAGATGTCCCACATGCTACAATTGAGGACAGAGGTTTTGGGCTAGTACTTCATAAATATAGCCGGTTAGCAAGTATTCTGAATGTTGTAGTCCAAAATTAGTGGAAGGCAGCATAATACTTAGCACTAACTCAATAGTGCTGTTATGGTAACAGCTTCCTAAAGAGAGAATGATTGAGTTCACATGTTGTACCAAGTCATAATTTGCTTAATATTGGCTTATTGAATAACATAGTGGACTGGATTCAACTAGAATGCTAAACCAAACTTAAACAGCTATTATATGGCTCAGAGTTATGGATGAACCCAGCCAGTCTTGGAGAGGGTAGCTGGGGATTTTAAGTAAGGTTCAACTGCTTGGAAAAACTGCATGACCAAAAATGCTGGCAAACCAATCCCCCATAAAGCAATTTGTGTTTTGGAACCAAATACAGCAGGAGTTGCTCTGAGTGGGCTGAATGCTACTTTTATAATGAAGTATTTAACTGCATTATTTAACTGCATTATTTGGAAAAGTTTAAAACTTCTTGCAAATATTTTTAAATTATGTTTATTAATTATGTAGAACAACATCAGAAAAGAAAAAAGGAAAGAAGGAAAAGCATACATGTATATACTTAAAATACTTACATAACATTGTGATTCCCTAACTGATCTACAGTATCAATAGAACTTATTTATCTTCTTCTTGTTGTTAATTTTATTATTCCTGTTGTATAAGATTTGCTATAAGGTGAAGATCAAAATAAAAATTCAAAAGATGAGATCTGATATAGTGGTTAAAATAAAAAAAATTAAAAACATAAAAAAGACAAAAAGGACATTATATGAAAATCTTGATTCATTTACATCTTCGTGCTTGATTTACACACATGCATAATCTTATATGAAAATACAGATTTAAGAGGAATTGAACAAAGTTAAAGGATCAGTTTGATTCCAACCCATATTGCCTAGTACTAGAAGATGTGAAGAGGCAGGGCTCCTGATATCATCCAGTCACATCTTCTTTAGGTTAGAGAAAAATTTCCAGCATCCCTTTGACTGTGGAGACCTTGGTGCTCTCTAAGCTTGGTTGTTTGCTTGCAGACATTTCATTACCCAACTAGGTAGTTGTCTAGTTAGTTATCTAGAGCACCAAGGACTCCATAGTTCAACCATGAGCTACAGATACTCTTGTCTATTGTTCTCTTTGACTGGAGGAAAGGGAGTCCACATTGGTAGCTGTGCCTCCTATTCTGGGCTCCAGGAAAAAAAGGCTCTCCTACAGGAAAAGGCCCTGGACAGCTGAAGTGGAACCAGCAGTTTCAGGGACCCCCATCTGAGTGCCTACAAGCACTGGGACAGGCTTGCAAGTGAGGGGAAGAGGGACAAGGACTTCAGAGCAATGGGAGGAATCTCATTTGTCACCTTGCAAGCTCAGTAAGAAGGTTGGGTGCCAGGCAACCTCTAGGTTTCTCAGTGTTGATCTGGCACTTGTTAGATACCTACACTATAGTCTGACTGGGAAACACCTCATAGATACATTCGTATCTTTCTGTGTTACTGACAACACAAGCCTGCCCCCCACTACATCCTACTGAGTTCAGTGGCATTTGCTACTAAGTGAACAGGTGTAACTTGCAGCCTTATTTGTACTAAGAAAAGTATTTTCATACATTTCATACATAAATTAAATTTACCAGTAAAGGCTCCCTAGTTATTTTGGAGCTATTTTCAGACATTAGACATATTGCTCAATTATGCAAAATATACAACCTGCCAACATTTCAGCATCAGGAATAAGGAGATGATTACTCCAGTGTGACTCACTATGATCAACATCTCTTTGCTAGTCTCCCAGCATACTCTGTCTCTCAAACTCCAAAGGGATCGTCTTCTATTGACCCAAATAAAACATCCAAATAATTATCTGTTTATGTGCCCTTCATCATATTGAAGTAGACAGAGAGGAAAAAAGACACTCCTAAAATAAATAAGGGTACCAGTTGGGATTCCCTGCAGAGCAGTTGCATCTCTCTCTCCCTGTATCCCTACCCAGAACTGAGCAAGAGGATCAGTGAAAAAACTCTTCTGTGTGTTGGCTCGGGAGTCAGTGTCCCCACAAGCTGTATGGCTAATTCCCTTTACCGTATAAACATTACAAAGAATTCAGCCTTCTTAAAAAAATAATAAAAATCAAGCAATAAAGTCATAGCACCAGATTTTCCCAGTCTCTCCCCCCCCCACTTTTCCTTTCTGAACAATGTAAAATCTATGACAGAAGTGCTTCATTTTTACAGAAAATTTGGCTACGTTGCTATTTGCAGAGCGCAATCCTATCATGCCAATTGAGAAGTGAGTCCAAATGATTTCAGCGAGGATAGAGTATTACAGGTTTTGTAAACATCACTAAATGACATAAGCAAAACCAGCAACTGGAGCAGATTCTTAAGAAAAAAGAAAAACTTTATTTCACCTGTCTCCTGACCACTGGTTGTAATATATAAACCAACTAGTAATAGAAGAAACATTCATAATTTTTGCCTCATGTCATATGGACCAGAGCTCTCAAACAAGATGGTAGCATGCTCTTAAATCACTGGGCTATGTCCAGCTGTGACTCAGGCAAATCTTGAGGCCCTGGATGCAAAGGGAACGCCCCACCCCAAAGTCCACTTAGGTGGCAATCACTAAGGTTGGTTTCTCAAACTTTGCAATACCATGGCCCTCTAAAATAAATGAATGTGTGCAATAAATTATACATAAATAAAACTGCTGTGATTAGTAGTTGATTTTAACAGACAGGGAGACCTACAAGTTTATCTCAAAACTTGGTTTTGCTCTCTGCTGTGCCTGGACAAGCCTGATCATCTTGAAAAACTTTTATGACCTTCCCACCACAAAACCTAGGGGTCATGGCCTAAAGTTTGAGAAGCCTGGAGCTAATGTTGCTAATATAGCATTACGGGTAATTTTTATCCTTAATTGGCTGCAAAAAGATCATGCTTCCAGCAACAGGAGGAAGAGAATAAGGACATTGAATGAGTCCGCTCAGAAGAAAGTCTGGGGATCTAGTGAGAAAAACAGTATGAGCTACGAGGGATGGTGTGAAGCAATTCGCAATTAAGTTCACTGATTTGAAGTGTTTGCCCCAGGACTTTTCTATGACATTTGTGGTAGTCTCAGGAACCTTGTTAACAGTTGGTAGGTATGAAATATTTGCTCATGTTCCTGAAAAACAAGAGGTTCATCTAGGTCAGTTATTTGTGGAGAGGAGCCCTGATTCAAAAATATTTTCAAGCATTTAGTGGAAACATATGGGATGCACATGTCTCCAGCTGTATAATAGGCAAAAATCAGAAGGAGACTGGTCAGACCTTTTCAGACTAATACATTCTATTAAAAGGCATACGTTTTCATGAGCTACAGCTTACTTCATTAGATGCACATGGTGGCCAAAGTTATATAAGATTTAAATTGTGTTTGGTGCAGGAAGGGAGGGAAGATATAGTGTTTATGAAGATGCAGATTACATGTGAGACATATTACAAGTAGCTGCACCCTGTGATCTATAATCAAACTGTATAATAGGTACTGTATACCTGAAGTACTTCACGTCTAGCATGTTCAATAATGAGCCACATCTAAATCTTCACTAACTGCTTCTGCACATGGTTCTTCTTACCTGATGAGTGTACAAAAAAGTATATATGAAGATCCAGCTCAAATTATATTTCTCCCCATTGACCTGGTTCCTCAGATATAGCAGAGAGTCCAGACATTTCATAGTAGTAGATTGATGGCTAACTTGGCTTCCCCTGATGTGATTTCCCGATTGGTTCCACATTCCAATTTTGCATTAATCAGAAATACTGCTTTCATTTAAACAATTCTAAACTCTCTAAAAAGGGCATTTTATCACAATGATCAAACAATGGTATAGTGAAGGGAAATGAATAAAGGGCTCATTGATATCTTCATCTGGATAAGTGAAATGTGGAGACCAAGTAAGCATTTTTATGGGGTACATTGATAGGGTTATACTTTGGCAATAGGAGGTTAGCCCCTAGTGTAGAGAGTAAAGATGATGACCTTGATGGAGAAAAGCAGGAACCATTACTTAGGTAAAAGGGATGAAGCACTTTTTAAGTCCAGAACAACGAGATAACATTTGAAAGTGACTCAGGCAGAATCATCTCTAATTCACTGGAGTATAAGGAGGAGGAGGAGGCATGGCATAATCAGATTTGCAAGGTTCTGTTATTATAGTCAATCTCAATAAAAGTAGTTTTAACTTTCTGGTGGAATTGATTTCCTTGTCTGGTCTACCTAGTGGGGTTGACATCTGGCTTCAAATCCCAAGTAGTTTTTTTCTTGGCATGATCCAAACCTGCTTTTCCAAAATTAGCACCTTTAAAAAAACAGACCAGACAAAAAGTGGTAGTCCTTCCCATTGTCAGTAACTAGGACTTTCAGTCAGTTCCACAGAGTACAAAACAGTGTTTTAGCTGCTTATCCTAAATTGTTGCAGTCTGATTGCAGGTGAAATCGGCAAAGTTTTGAGTGGGAGCAATGATTGTGATTTATTTGTTTTACAGAGCTTATAGACCACCCCAGTTACAACTGACTGTGTGGGGTAGACAAGTTATATTTGTATTAAATCTGGAAATAACATTTTCCCCCTTCAAAGTATCAAAACTATGCTCTTTTAATTGTAGGAGAGAGTTCCTGAAAGAATGAGTGAGTGCATGTTGTCCTCTTGGCCATACCACAGACACTGCTGTACAGTGCCAGTACAAGCTAAATCCATGCACAGAAATGTCATGGTTAATCCCAGTTCCAGCTGCAGTGGCTGTTTCTTAGTGCATCCTTCATGCGGCATTAGCCCATTTCTCATAACAAGGTAATAAAGTATTTATTTAAGTGTTTAAAATGAGAAGAGACAAGGACATTAAACTCTGTCTTTCTATATCCCAGGATCCCCCAAGGGAGGCTTATACGTTCTTCCTTGGCTTTCTCCCCAAGCAGGTGGGACAATAGCAGAATTTGCTGGATAGAAGTATAAAGTATGACATTTTCTCCCTGGGATCAGAGTATGGTAAAAGAACTCAAGATGGTGGCCATGACAGTCATATGCAACATGCATAAAAAATGGGCAGAACTTCCATTGCACTAGCATGGCCATCATCTTGACTTTTTTTTTTATCACACCTTGCAGACATCCCAACTGGGATTTAGAATCTATGTAGCTCAAGCAGATGATTAGCATTTCTTGTCATGTGTGGTCAGTTTTCACTGTGTGGTTCTCAGCTGCCATTCTTTCATTTTATTCCCAGATGCTCATGCCTCAGCTACTGTCCCTTTCTTTCTGATGCAAAACATAGGACAGGAAAGAATTTGGAGAGATCACTGGATGCTGGTAGTCCTGTTCTGGCAAAAAAGGAAGGTGACTGTTATTATTACCAAGGCACAATCATAACAGATATAGAGGCAAGTTGCAAAATTATTTTCTGTATGGTTGTAAATGGTTATTATTAAATATACACCAAGTAATATTCAGAAACTACAGAAATTCAACTGAATATACTTACTCACAGTAATTGTTTTCCTCAATTTAGTGCAGTAAGGGATTAGTTCATAGGGTTATGTGGATCCAGTTAATTCATACTGAATTAATCCAAGGACAGAGATAACTGGGCAAAGGATTCACACCATGTCAAATGCAATCTAAAAATGTAAGTGCTTGTGGACAATAATTTCAGTTGATCTCATTGTGGAATGAATGCCTTTGCTACCCACACTAAATGAGACCATTGCTTCTCTTGCAAACGTTGAAGGATGGACTAGAAGATGATGAATACTGTTGAAACCATCAGATGTTGTGCTACAAAGATAAGGGCAACAGTAATCAACTTTTAATTTAACAGTAATCAGTATTAATTTCCCAGTTATTGCAATTCCTCTCTCCCACCCCCCACCCCAATCTTTCTTATGTTATTTTAGGACAGGTGCAGTCAAGGTTTATACCCTGCTAGTCAATGACATCCTGCCCTCCTTCCTTATCTAACAAATCCTGGGGAATGCTTTCTAGCCAGTTATAACTGTGTAACCCCAATGACATCATTAGAATACTTCATGACAGTTGCCCTTGTAGTTTCCCCAACATTTCTGGGTTTCATTTATTTGCTTGAGCCCAACTTGCACTATCTTAGGAACATATTGTTTATATCAAGAATAGGCAAACCAATATCCTTCAGATATTTTGGACTTCAACATCCAACAGTCCCAGCTAGAAGAGGCAATGGAAAGAGACACTAGGAATTATCCAAATTATTCCAAAACACCAGGTTCCTTACCCATGGCTTATATTGAGAACCAAGGTTGCAGTATAATCCTATTCCAGCTTTCCTCAACCTGGCATTCTTAGATACATTAAACTTCTTTATTCCCAGCCAAATAGAGGCATGCTGACTGGGAATACATACTATAGCAGGAGCAGTAATGCAACGCATCTGAAGGGCACATGATTGAGGAACATTGTTGTAACTAGAGGTATAAGATTACCCTGTGAGACCCTTTCCATCTTGTTAAAGCAGGTTCTTTTATTTCTTTACTAGCACCAGAGCTCTAGGAGTATTTGTGCTATTTGGGGATCTCAGCAACTATTGATAGTTGATGAATAGCATTATTGCTGGAAATGTGGTTGGTGTGTTGATATATAAACTGGACAGTGGAAAAAAAGTCTGCCTTCAATTCATTAGTTGTTAGCACTTGAAACAAATGTGGTATTTTCCTTCTGAAAAGCAAGAGGCAGGGTTGTTTGCTCACCACAGTCTCTCAGCGTCCGATAACTCTGAAGAACCAGCTATTCAGAAGGTAAAGGGAGTGACTTGGAGTGAATCCAGCATATGTTTGATCAACTCAGTGCTTGATTCTCATTCTACCTACAGAATGACAGAGTGCAATTGGGGAAACAAATATTTTCATTTTTAAATAGCCACAGAGCAGACAGAAAAGCTCAAGGGGATGGTGTGGTGAGGGGGAGAGAAACTTTTGATTTTATAACAAGATAGCTCAATTTGCTTTTACTGCAGAATAAATTATTTAAACAGTATGGATGTGTTGAGTTACTTTTCATAATTTAATTCAAATTTGGGGAAGTTTTGCTGAATATCATTCAGTTCAATAGTATGCATATTCAGGGATTGTGATCTTAGGTGATGTTAAACTAATCAAGTCTTCCTAGAAATCAAACAGCAATGAACTTTGGGATCAAATTGTGGAGATTTGTACCTCAGATGACCACCTGGAGCAGAGCAGACAGTAACAAACAGATCTGGCATTATTTCCTTTGGCTAACACTGGTCCACAAAGAGAGGCTAGTCATTGCAAAATACTTTTTCTTATTTTTTAAAAAAACAGTTTATAGTTGGAGGATGGTTGATTGGTTATAGACTCTCCATTTAACATTTTCACCTTAAAATATATTATCTCTTGTATTATGCACAGAATATTTAGACTTGAGCACATGGGTTAATATCAAAGCAGCTGGGACCAACTCATTTGTTCATAATGGATTATGTCATCTTTTAAGTATGTTCAAAACATGCCTTGTGTGTACTTCGAGTATTTCTTTTTTAAAATCAGTTGGAAAGGCTATCTCCTTTTGCTTTTTCCTCCAAATAACACAGGAAGGTACAAGCAATTGTAAAATATGGAAGAAAGCTGCATGACAAACGAAACTGTGAATGGGCTTCGCAACTGAAGTAAAATTAATGGCTGTTAAAAGGAAAACAGAGCCCTATAAATAAAATAGTTTTGCCTGGTCTATTGAGTTGTCAACCCTCAAAGAGAAAACCAAAACTAAGAATTAAGTTGGGGGTGATTTCCTCCCTTGGACTTGTATTTAATTTGTTTTTAATGTTCTAAGCTATCAATAGGAGTGATTTCCTATTATTTGTGCTATTTTTAAAAATATCTTTTTTTTCTTTCTGACAGGAAGGTGAGAAAATATCATTTCTGGTACAGTGTGCAGTGGGGGAAGATACACCTTGTGTGCAGAAAATAGCCCGCAGTGATATCCTTGAGTGTGTGAATGGAATGAGACACTCTATCCTGCCAGGTGACAAAGTGATGGCCCCCTGGGAACCAGAGCGGAAGAGGTACGGCCCTGGCACCGTCCTCCAAGGCATGGAGACCAGAGATCCCCTGCGAGGTAAAATCGAAATTCCCTTGCTACATACGTGGGGAGTAGCTTTGGGCAACAGGCTATGTCTGCAGCAGGAAATAAAAATAGGCTGGTGCTTCTCTTTTAAAAAGAAGAAAATTTTTATTAGGAAATTACATTCAGATAGAAAGTTTAAAAACTTCATCTAGCCGCATTTGGATCTAGCCAAAGAATGAAAGGCCACGTAGTACACTAGATCACATGGAGCCTGGCATGGGATCTCTGCCATTACCAGAGAAGGAGGAAAAGATCTATGGGAAAAAAAGAGCAGGAACTGGAAGTGATGGCAGCCCTGCATTTATCGGTCTAACCGAAGAGGGAGTGTCAAGGAGGGGAATCTGCATAAGCTTTCACTACACCTATTGTGCCTAGTGAGACTGAGGAGGTGCAGTGAGATAATACACCCCAAAATTGATCTTCCAATGCCCTTCTCATAGGTATATGCACCAGTTCACAACTCCTATCACTTCACATAGGTTTTTTCTCTTATGGCCAGTAGCCATGTTTCTGCTTCAGCATCTGCATTTTCTCAGTGTCCTGCTGTGTGGAGCGTTTGGGTGTGTCCTCCTTCCTGGCTGGAAGAGAAAGTCTTTTGGGTGGCATCTCTTTGGGCCTTCTGAAAATCTTACCTCTGACTCAGTTTCTGTGTTCTCTTCTCACGCAGGTACCCTTTTTCTGTCACATATCACAGTTTCCTCTTGTTGAGGCTGCTGCCCTGTTTCTTCTCCTGCTGGGAAGTCTAAATTGATTTCTGACATCGTATTAACACTTGGTGTCTTTCATTAAGCTACATCACTCTAAGTAATTTACCTGTTTCTGCGGCAGAATCCATGACTCTGTATCATTGGCAGTCTAGCACATAGCCAGGAAATCTATGTTCATCACTTCTGCATTTTTGTTTGGGAAGATAAGCACTCTTTTCTTCGGGAAGATAAGCATTCGCCTTGGATCCAAACACTCTATTATGCTGAATATTGGGGTTAGTTCCATTCCCCAGTTCAAATGGCACAGCTTTTGTGCCTTTAGTAAGCAGCCTGTGTTGCAAATAAGGTGCAATGATAACTGCTTCTTCTTTACTTGGTAGTCTACCCTCAAGACCCTTGTCTTCTGTCATTTCCAATGTTCTATTCTTTATTTATGACACATCATTTTGCTATGGGATATATGCAATTGTTTTGTTCTTTGATAATGCCTTGTTCATTTAAGTATCGGTCAAACGTTTTCAATGTACTTCCCCCCATTACCTTCCAAATTTCTTGCTCCCACGGGCTCTTTGAGTGTTGGTACACTTTATCTTTCTCTTTAAGATGCTAAGTGAAAACATATTTTGAAAAAAAAAATGTCAGAAGAAACCAAATCAATTCTTCTATGCATATGTACAAAAAATAGTCCCCCATAGTCACTGTGGAGGTTCCTTGGTGGATGTTTTTTTATGGATGATAAATAAGAGGCTCTAATTGTATTTGCTTTAATAAAGTCAACACATTTGAATTCAGAGTAGCAAGACTGAAAATTCACACCTGTTGCTAAATTGTCCTTCATCAGCTTTGAAATATATTTAGTATGTGTGGTCAAATCTGTGATATCAGATTTTTCAGTTTTTCTGAAAACATTCCTTTGCAGTATTTTTTCCTGTCATTCTACGATGCTACTTCAATGTTCCCTTCATGATCAGTTCTTTGTGAACAGGGCAATAAATTCTTTCCTTCCGTAAAGAATGTTGCATCCTCACATTGTATCTGTTTTTATGTTCATAAAGTTATTTTCTAGGCTGGGAACTTACTAAGCTTCTAGAATGCAAACCTCAACAGCCTGTGTTTTGTAGTTTACACAAGTTAAACAAATCGTTCCTTCACAATCCTGAATGTGTTCATCTTTGGCAAGTTAGGTTGGAGCTTTACAACACTTATCTATGCCTGAAAAGCAATTAACATTGTTAAAGAAATATGAAGAAGTCTCACTATCCATATAGATTTTGTTTTAATTTTGAATTGATCCTGCAAATGATTTCTCTTGCAGTACTCTGTTTAATGTTGGTTTGCAGGATTCATTCTTTATAAATCCCTTCCTTGTGACTTTCTCTTGTTTTGTGGCAGCATTCCTCTTCATGACTCAGTTCTGTAATATTTGTTTTTAAGAATTTTTTGCAGCTGAGAGTTCCTTATCTTTCTCTGAACATTCCTTCTGAGATGTAAATTGCTCCTGCAGGTGTCTCCCTCTTTTTCCTAGGAGCCTGGAGGTCCGATTTGGAAATATTTCATTTCCTAAATTTGCTTTCTGAGATGAAATTCCTAAAAATGTTCTTGGACAAGACTCAGCCTTGGATTTGCTTTAACCAGAAGAAAACAATTGTTTCATATTTCTCAGGCAGATAGTAGACCAGAAGACCAGTCTTAGCCCCTGCAGGCAATTTTACATCTTCTTATTTCAGCTCTTCTGACTGTTTGTAAGAAAAAGCTATATTTGCTGATAAATCACCCACATCTTTAAGTCTTTTATTACATATTTGTGATATGAGAGAAATGTGTGAGTTCATGGCTTTTTGCTGAAATAGGTTCCTCAGCCTTTCCCACATTTCCATGCAATCTCTTTATCTTCCATACAGATAAGCAAATTAGTGCAGCTAAAGATACCTGTCCCATGGCTTTCTTGTCTGCAGCATCCCATTCCTTCTGTTTCTCTCCAACTTCACCTGGTCACCTAGGACGTGGGCCCTCAGCATTTTCATTACTCTCCCACATGAATCACAGCCAGCTGTCCTGTTTTAAGTAATCTGCTTCTCCTGAAGACCTGTCAGCAACACACACACGTGCACACACACAAATCCCCTCCCCTTCCTGACTAAGCCCCAAACTCTTACACCTTTAAATGTTCTTTTGCGCTGAGCGCATGTGGGAGTTACTTTGTATAGTAGAATATGCAATATGTGAGAGCAGCTTTCTGCAGCAGAATGCACACGCAGAGAGAAGTAAAAATAATAGAGCAATGCACAATGTTTAACATTTTAAAAAGTTCTGAATCCCTGCTCTAGAAGGAGGGAAATAGGTTTTTGACTGTCACAAGGGCTAGCCAATTAGGATTCTATCTAGGCACCGCCTGCTGAAAATGGGAAAACAGGCTCCTTGCAAACTTGAAAAGTAATGTTATGTGTGAACAAAAGGCACGTTGTGGTAATTATGCATCTGGTGGAAAGGTATAGTACTGTAGTGTATGCCCATCACAAAATACCTCCTAGAGAGAATATAGAGGCAGCTTTTTGCAGCCATGTAAGTGGGCATAACATTTAGTTTAAGGCGGTGACTAAGCCAAGAGTCTCTGTTACTGAGCATATGTGTTGTCATCTCTCTCCCCCCACGCTACATATTGCATTTTAACCAAGGCTTAAGGCCTACTGCTGAAATTGAAATAGCTGCTAGTTTGAGATTGCAGTATTTGCACAAATCAGATTTTGTAACCTACCCGGATAAATGTTCTTAGTAGGGCTTTTTGACTTAGCATCTTCTGCAAGTACAGTTTAAGTGAGTTAAGTTCAGGCTGAAATCTGTCTTTTGATTCCCCAGTTTTCTTCCCATTTGAAAAAAAAATGCATATGTTGAGTTTTTTCTTAGTGTAAGGTTCTCGGCTACCCAGAAAACGTGAAATCCATCAGCAGCACAAAACAAAAGACTTCACGCAGGGACTTCTCTAAGCAGCGTTTTATTTGGCCAAGCAAAAGTCTGGG